CTGTCCCCTCAAGTCCCTCCAGGGACACTAGGCAACATCTGGGGACATTTGTGGTAGTCACCAAGGGAAGGGATGCCACTGGCATGGACTGGTGGAGACTAGGGATGTGCTCAACACCCCACAGTACCAGGACACCCAGCAACAATGTCAACCGCACCACTGCTAGAAACCATGCCTGGAGACCCAAGCACCTCAGAGTTCCAGGTTAACAGAAAGGAGGAGCCAGACCCCCGGGCACTCACCGCTCAACTCCCACCATGCAAGAGGACGAAGAAGGCAGGAAGGGGGATTTCCTAGAGAAGCCCCTATTGCTCCCTCCAGGCTCCACACCCAGGTGGGGAGCATGGGCTCCTAGAAGCTCATTAACTCAGTAAGCTCTTCAGGAGGAAGTGTGGCCCCACAGGTGCTGCAGGAGTACAACGAGGGGCCTCATCCACCCACTCCCGTGCCTCCCTGAGAAAGAGGTGTATAAAATGACCTGCCAGGGGACCCTGCAGGAGGGCAAGAAGAGGAACTGCTTATGGCTGGGCACAGCAAAGCTGGTGAAGCCAGCTGTCAACCCCTGACCCACAGGACCTAGTAGCACCTTACCTGGGCTGGGTTGAGATCTGTTCTTTAAAAGCCAAACATTTTAACCATAAGCCACACACAGTCTATGTCCATGGGTTGTATAAATAGGCAAGCTGGAGTTTGCCATTCCTTCAAAGAAAGGCTTAAACTTTAACCCTGAATACAAGTAGAGTCCAGGAAAGGGGGTCTGTTAACCAGATGTGCATTTTTTACAAAGGCAGGGGTGAGCCCTAGAAGATAGTTCAGGATTGCAGGAGCTAAAAGTCAAACTGCCTAGGCTGGAGCCCCACCTTGCCACTTGCTAGCTGTGGGACCCTGGCAAGAATTTACTTCTCCAAACCTCAGGATTTCACTTATAATAAAGTGGGTACAAGGTAGGACACAGAGTACAGACCTCTCTCAGGACTCAGTGAGAAATCAGAACAACACACCTAGCATCCCAAGTACCACAACAAAGTTTTCAAGTGGCAATCCTACAACACACCACAAACACTCATCTAAAAACTTTTAGGGACAATGATGTCTCAAAAATCAAACTTTCCAGTGGGTACAGTGACACACTGAGGCAGGAGGATCACGAGATTAAAGCCAGCCTCAGCAAAAGCAAAATGCTAAGCAACTCAGTGACACCTTGTCTGTAAAGAAAATACAAAATAGGCCTGGGGATGTGGCTCAGTGGTGGAGCACCCCTGAGTTCAATCCCTGGTACCAAGAAGAATAAAAGAAAATCAAGCCCCCCCCCCCCATTTTGGAAAGGTAATACAATAAGTACATAGTCCATACGTTATAACATCTAAATAGATTGGAGAAACACCTAATAACCAAATCAGTCTTTCTGCAGTGGAGCGAGGAAATGAACACTAGGATTCCTCTCTCCTAGCACTGAACGTGGAGCTGGACAGTCTCTGGGATGGGCTGCCCTGGATACTGAAGTGTGTGAAGCAGCATCCCTGGTCTCCACTCATTCCTTGCCAGGAGCACCCGCCCCAGTCATGACAGCCACAAGTGTCCCCAGGTGGCATGAATGCCCCAGTTAACCACTGAGAGGCTGAGAAAAAGGAGGTGCATCAGTCGGACTTTCTGGCCAAATGACTGCTGCGAACTTCAAGCAAATCTCGTTCATGGAGCAGTTTTAATTTAAAAACTGCAGAAAGGGAACCGTGCACCCATATTAAAACTTGTGGTCAAGCAGAGTGTCAGGAGCTCAGGGAAGATGGAGAACAATTGGAACTGGAATTGCCAGGAATTGATTGATTGATCTCAGACCCTGTGGAAGTCCACTCAATCTGTAAATATTTACTGACTGCAGCCTCTGTGCTGGGTCTCTGAGTTAATGATCCAGCAGCAAACAAGGCAGACAACATTCCTGCCTCCCTGAAGCCTCAATTGGCCTAATTATTATTATTTACCATGTTTATTGGGTGCTGGAGAAAGAACTGGGGGAGGACAGCCTGCATAAGAAAATTCAAGGATATAAACAAGGAGGCACCACACAACCTGAGCGATTCTCTAAAATACAGAAAACAGGTCACATTGTTCCCCTGATGAAAACCCTTCCAACAGTGCCCCTTTGCCCTTAAAATGAAAGAGTTCCCAGGTGCCTGTTTTAGCCAAAATGACTCTCAAAACGCAGGTGTTCCAGGCTCCCCGCCTATGCCCTGGGGGTCCCTCCGTCCGGGAGGAACCCTCCCTAGCTTTGGCAGGCAGTTGCTTCTGCCCTAGAGTCCAGGCTCCAAGGCCGCCACCCCAGGGGGGCCCTCCAGACCCACCTCTGTACAGGGGGCTCCCCGAGACCGCCTGCTGCACGCCACCGACCCCCATCTAAAGTCCTCGTTTGCTCGTTAACTTCTGAACGACCGATTTCCCTGCAGAACTGCAGAAGGACCGGGCGCGGGTCCTAATCACTGTCGTCCCCCCCCCCCCGGAGTCCACCCCAGGGCCCGACCCGTCCACGGGGGAAGCTCGCGAAGTTTGCGAATTGGATGAAGCGCTGGAAAAGTTGGTTCATTCATTCGGCAGACCAGGAGGCAGGGTCAGCCACCAAATGCCCGCCATTCTGGGCTCAGGGTCACTGGGCTCGGGTCTCAGGCCCAAGTCGCGATCCCGGGAGACGCGCGGGTGCAAGGGACGCCGGGGTCCGGCGAGCTGGGCCTCGGCGAGAGGCGGCTAGTACCTGCGGGGGGCTTCATGGCGGGCGGGTCTGCTCCGGCGGCACCCTCGCTGCACCCGGCCAGCGTCCACCAGCCTCAGCTGAGGTGGACACCTCCAGCGCCTCAGGTCCGCTGCCGCCGTCGGCCGCAGACTGAGGCGCCCGCCGCCCGCGCGCCCAGGGCATGCTGGGAGGGCGCGTGAGCAGGAACCACAGGGCGCAGGCGTGCCGGAGCTCCGCCCACACCTCGAGGCCGCCGACTCTCTGACGCTCCACTCTACGCACGCGCTGCAACCCTCCCGGCCCATCATTGGTCCTCAGAGGTGGATGGGCGGAGCTACCGGCTACACCCATCCAGAACCTCGCGGTCCACTGGGAAAGAGCGTTTCCATGGAAACCGCACACACCTCTGGCTCTGACGCGTTCCTGCCAGTTCTTCACCTGGGCTTCAGACGCCTGAATTCATTTGTACTTTCCTGCTTGCTTGCTTCCTTCCTCCTTCCTTCCTTCGTTTCTTGCGATTGAACCCAGTGGTGCTTTACCACTGAACTACATCTCCAGCCCTTTTTATTTTTCGAGACAGGGTCTGGCTATGTTGCTGAGGCTGGCCTTGAATTTAGGATTCTCCTGCCTCAACCTACCGAATCGCTGGGATTACAGCCGTGGCCATCATGCCCGGCTGCCTCCTTTTTACAATTGTGTATTGAGTTGTTTTTATAAGCTTTCTCCCTCCTTAGGGGCTCCCCCCACTCCAGAGATGGAACCCAGGGCCTTGTGCATGTGATGCAGGCACTCTACCAACTGAGCTGTATGCCCAGCCCTCTTAGGGCCCTCTTGTTATGGATCGCTTATAGTATCCCAAAACACTTTTTGTAGGTTATTTCCTTCCCAGTATCCTGTCCGGCTTCCAGCATCTAAGTAATAGTGTAGGTACCCTAAGTGTCAACTGAATGTGGTTCATCAATTTAAGAAACCACAGTTAAAAAGAAAAAGAAAACAAACATAAGCTAGAAAGTATAGTCAAGAAAGTGTCAGTAAAGAAGCCAGGCTAGGTGGTACAGGCCTGTAATCCCAGGGACTCACAAGGCTAAGGCGGGAGGATCGAAAACTCCAGACCAGCCGCAGCAATTTAGGGAGATCTTGTCTCAAAATAAAAAATAATAGTACCAAAAAATAGTAATTTTGAGAAGGATGAGGAACGTGGCTTAGTGGTACCATTGGGTTCAATCCCTGGTGCCAAAAAAAAAAAAAAGAATAAAGAAAGTGTTAGTGAAGGGACCCATGACCCCATGACTTCATATCACAAGTGTTTTGAAACAGTGCATAAGCTGACCTATATCCAGTGATGTTCTCTGTTAATCTTGAACTGTCTGGGGGGTGGGGGGACATTGATTGTACATGTATCTTAACTAGGATAAAAATGAATTGAGGGGGCTGGGGTTATGGCTCAGCGGTATAGCGCTCGCCTAGCACATGTGAGGCCCTGGGTTCGATACTCAGCACCACATAAAGATAAATAAACAAAATAAAGGTATTGTGTACAACTAAAAAATAAATATTAAAAAAAATGAATTGAGGGCTGGGGATATAGCTTGGTCAGTAGTGTGATTGTCTAGGATGCACAAGGCCCTGGGTTCAGTCCTCAGCATTCCCCCCAGCCCCCGAATAAAAAAAAAAAAAAGAAGAAGAAGAAGAATTAGGAATTGGGAGAACATTGGCAACTTTAATACCAACGGTGGTAATCTCTTGAGAACACTAAACTTAACCCTACATCCGTCTTCATTTCACTGTTCCCTGTGCTTGGGGCTTTTCCCATCTTTCAATACAAACATAAAGAAGAGGTCATCCTCACCTTCCAAGGCAGCTTAGCTCCCCAAGCACAATGACATCACACCACATCACACCATTTTTTTCCTTTAATTCGCAGAGATTAAACGAATGAAAGAATGCACTTGTGGGTGAACCGGATGATGTGTGGATGAATAAATGAACAAACAGAAGACGACAGTGACCACGGAGAGCCCATGACACTCCAGATGCCAGTGCCTAAACTCGGCGGCACCACAAATTTCTCTCGCACAGCCGGCAGGGTCCGCCGCCGTCCCACCATGCACCGCTCCGCCCCAGCTCCGGCGGGCTGACAGCCCTAATTTCCGGCCTCCATTAGGTCGCAGAGGTCAGTTGCCCTAACGACCAGCTTGCTCCCGCCTCCATATTGCGTCACTTCCTTCCACACCCTCCTCGGCCACGGACGCACCTGCGCAAAATGAAAACAAAACGGAGCAGGGTTCTCCTGCGCGTGCGCCGCGCCCGGGGGGCGGGGCCGAGCGGCGCCGCTGTGCGCAGGCGCAGCCGTCGGTGGGTCGGGGCTCGGTTGTCTCGCAGGTGAGTGGGGGCCCCCCGCTGTGAGCCGGGTGGGCCTGGACGTCAGTGGCTGGCAGTTCTCGGGGCTCGGGAGCCCTTGAGAGGTGGGGCGGTCTCGGCCGGCATCGCTGCGTCCCAAGAGGTGCCGTGAGTGGGCGGCGCGGCGGGGAAACTGAGGCAGGACTGAGGCGCGCTGTCCGTCGCGGACCCTCGCCTCCCTGTCCCGGGTCCAGCCCTGGAGATGGTGGTCCGCAGGCTGTCGCCGGGGACCATGCGGGATGAGCGCTCGCAGAGGGTTTGCTGCTGCCCCTGTTCCTGAGGCCTCCACGACCGCCTGGACGCGGGGACTCTGCTGGTCCCAGCGTCACCACTCCGTACCTGGGTGACCTTGGCCAGCGACTCGGCTGCCCAGAGGCTTACTTTCCCTTTCCGTAAGACGGGTGTTGTCACAGTCACAGTGACATTCTGGGTCGCGGGGCCCAGCACGCCGTGGGCACCCCGAAGGGTTAGCAGTTGTTGGTGCTAGTTGGCATTAGGGCCTTTGGCACAGGATGCCAGAGGTGGGGGAAATCGAGGGGGAGGACCGGCCGGCCACCTTCGCCGGCTGTGTGAACCTGGGCAGGTTGCTTTCCCTCTCTGAGCAGATCTTTGCTTCTTATGGACATAGTTGTAAAAGTTCACGCCTTGCAGGGCCATTGTGAAGTTAAAGTTTCTAAAAGAGTCGTTAATCAGGTGCCAGGAACTCAGTAAGTGCTTGCTGGAGACTGGCTGTTGTGGTTATGATGTGTCAGAAAACGTGTGTAGTCTGTCCTTTTGGCTAAGTGGTTTTCCTGTTTTCATTTGTTTCTGATTATTTGTTTTGTCACCTTTGGACCAGTGGTTCTCTACTGAGGGCAGTTTTGTCCCCCAGGGCATCCTGGGTGATGCCGGGGACATCTGTGGCTTCAGACTAGGGCATGGAATGGGTGGAGGCCAGGGATGCTGCTCAGCACCCTGAAGTGCTCAGGACAACACCCTAGAGAATGAGCCCACCCCAGGGTCCGGCGTCAAGACTGAGAAACCATGTATGAATTCAGTATGTGGATTCCAGCATTGGCTGCACCCCAGGAACTCAGGCAAATGATTATGGAACTCAGTCTCTTGGGTTCACAGAATCCCCCAGCCCAGGGGGTGTCAACATGTCCAGGAAACACTGGGCCATGCCTGGGGACATTTATGGTTGTCACAACAGGTTGCGCTCCTGGCACAGAGCGGGGGTCAAGGCTAGAGATACTATTCAGCACCCTTAATAATGCCCAGGATGTCTATCCCAGAGAGTAACCCAGCCCAGTGTGCAAACACTGTTGCTGTTAATAACATATTCTAGGCCAGTGACTCTCCCCCATTATGGCCTGTGGGAGATTTAAGGACCCCTGAAAGTATGTGCGGTTTTTTGGTTTGTGTGTGTGTTTCTAATTGTGCGGGGCAAGGAAAAGCACAGGAGTCAGACTGCCTGGATTCAAACCTCCTGACGTGTCATCGTAGCTGCAGCCTTGGGTGGCCCAGGGAACATTCTATCCTCAATTTTGTTTTCTGTAGAATGGGGGATAGAGTAGTAAACTCCTCGAGTGTCTGAGGGTTAAGCCACCACATTGATCAGAGAGCCAAACCCTGTTGCAACCCGTTTTTGTGAATGAAGACGTATGGGAGCTCAGCCAGCCTCCTTGGAAGGTTCACACTGGTTCTGTGCGTGGATTTGGGCTACAGTGGCTGAATGGAGTGGTTACCACAGAGCTCTTCCAGCCTGTGAGGCTGAAGGCTTTTAGTGCTCTGCCTCTTTCAGAAAATGTTTCCTGATCCCTGCAAAGTGCCCTCACGTGTACAGTGGGTCACTAGGTATCTGGCAAGTGCTGAGCGGGCCAAGAACTTGAGCCAGCATCTACCCTTAAATCTTTCTGGAAGGGGGAATGACTCCTGCGGGTTCTTCTCCACTCCAGGTTAGAGGCTGCGCCCTACGCTCCTCCCTCGCCGTCTATACCACTGCACGTTCTTTTTTTTTTTTTTAATAATTTTTTTAGTTGTAGATGGACATAATATCTTTATTTTATTTCTTTTTATGTGGTGCTGAGGATCGAACCCAGTGCCTCACACATGCTAGGCAATCGCTCTACCGCTGAGCCACAACCCCAGCCCCCACTGCACGTTCTTGCCGAGACTTCGGCAGCGAGGGCGTAGGAGGAACTGTGGGTAGGCAGCAGGACAGCTTTCATTCTTCACTAGGAGGAAACCAAGTGCCAAAGAGAGGCCACTTCCCCAGGGAAGTCAGGCCCAGGGCTTGAGTCTGCTGGTGACTTCTCATCGGTCCGGATCAGACACTGCCAAGCACTGGGGCCCGGGGAGATGGTCCAGGGACTCACCGCCTGGTGTGGGGGAAGCAGGTGTGAGGAACAGGAGGCCCAGGGTAGGAACAGGACCCAGGATGGCAGGAAGTGAGGTTTCTTCCTGAGTGTGTGGGTGGAAAGGCGAGCCAGCCCTGGAGGATGTGTGGACCCCACCCCCACGTCAGGTGACACCTGGTGGCAAAGGGCCTCATGGACACCCTCGTGAGGGTTTTTACATGCACAGTGACGTCCTAGTGGCATTTCAGAAGAGAACAGGCTCTGACCCTGGGAGTGCATGGGACCCAGTCAGAACCCCAGAGTACCAGGGTGGGTGCAGGAGCAGAGCACCCCACTGTCAGGAGCCGGCAGGGTGGGGCGGGGCGGGGCGGCAGAGCATGCGCAGGAGGGGCGTGGCAGCGCGCTTCTCTCTGGGCTCCAAGGTAGGAAGCCACCTTAGGACAGGCCGTTTTCTTCCTTCAGTGATTAACCCTGGGAGGAAGGTGGACGCGCAGAGGCTGTGCTGTTACGTTGTTTCAGCTAAAACAGGAGGTGGCCACTGGCCACTGAAGGGGCTGGAGCTCACCAAAGGAGCCGGCCCTGGGACCCCGGCCTGCCCCTGGCCCGCGACGCCCACCTCCCTCCTGCGCCTGTGGACCAGGCCCTGCAGCGGTCCTGGGCTCATAAAGCCCTCACTGTTCCCGCCGAGCAGGCCTCCTTTGGGAAGTTTGTCCGACAGCCAAAACCCTACAAGCCGTGATTGTTCAGAGGAGATGGGTGCGTGGCAGCGGGCGTGCAGGCCATCCTCCTGGGACACTGGACTGGCCCTCTGTAGGGAAGAGCCTTGTTGGGGTTCAAGTCAGATTTAGGGACCACGTCGTGTCCACTCCAGCAGGGTGAGGGACATAGCAGGTCGTGGCCCAGCCGGGCCTGCAGTGCAGGGCTCTGCACCTCCTGTGAGTCCATAGCCCCGGCCGCCTGTCCGCAGTCCCGAGGTCCAGGGGGCTCTGCAAGGGAGGTTCTCAGCACTCCTGTCTGGAAGTCATTTGGCCAGGGAAGTCTGTCTGTCCTGACCTAGAGTCTTTCTTCTTAGTGTCTTTGACCGTTCGTCACCCAGGGCCAGGAGTCAATGTCTGGGGACATGTGTGGCTGCCATGGCAGGAGACGCTCCTGGCGTGAGTGGAGGCCAGGGACACTGCTCAGCACCCTGTAGTGCCCAAGATGTCCACCCAGCAGAACGATCCAACCCCAGTGTTCATGGTGCCAAGTGGGAGATGCTGGATTAATTTTTTGGGAGAAAAAAAAGTCAACTCCCTGTTCCCACAGATGCAGAGAGCACTCGTGTGCGGTGGACAGCACTGCCCAGGGACCTCAGCTGCTGGGCCTGACCTCCTCTCCTCCTGACTCAGTGTGGATTTCAGTGTGGGCAGCACCTAGGGCCTCAGCAGGGCAGATGCTTGAAGGACACTGGGTCTCCTGGTCCATGAAATCCCCCATCTCAGGTGTCCCCAGGGGACACCTGCAGTGCACAGGACCAGCCCACCAGAGTGACAGCTTGCCCTGGAGCCGCCGTGGCTTAGGTAGCCATGGCTTCTCTCCTCCCTTTGTGACACTTGTCCGTAGGTGTGGTTTCCTGGAAGCGGAAACAGACCCACAGGCACTTCCACCACACTGACCACGCCGTGAAACGCCGTCTGGCACCAGGCTGTTGACATGACCCGAGTCTTGTTTTAGTTCTGGGGATTGAACCCGGGGCGCTCTTGCCACGGAGCATATCCCCAGCCTCTTTTTTTGAGATGGGGTGTCCCTAACTTTCTTGTGGCCTCGCTAAGTTACTGAGGCTGGCCTCGCCCTTGAGGCCCTCCTGCGCCAGCCTCCTGTGGTGCTGGGGTCATGGTGTGCACACCCCGCCAGCTGAGTGAAGCAGGGGCTGGATGACTCAGTCGTGCAAGGCAACGGGTCAGGAGGCCCACTCCTCATTTCCTCGGGGTCACAGGCTGTGCCGCATCTTAGGGGGACCAACACACCTCAGGCATCTGATCTCTGGTCCCAGGCCTGTTGGCTGTCTGTGTTGTAGGTGAGGGGCAGGAAGGGCCCACAGCTGCCCTCAAGTGCCTGGCTCCTCCGGCTTGTGTGTTCTGGTCCAAGGCCCCTGGCATCACTGTGGACACTGGAACCAATTGTCCTCCGGGGTGTGCATCCTGGACACTGTAGGATGCTGAACAATGTCCCTGCCCTGCACCCACTCCAAGCCAGAGCACCACCAGTCATAACAACCAGTTGTCCCCAGAATCGGCCTGGGTCCCTGGGGCAGAATCAGCACCCATTGAGAGCCACCATTCTAGGAATGAAACCATCAGGAAACAGATGCAACCATGTTCGCTGCACAGGAGATGGGTAGGGAATCCACAAACCATCTCAGTTTGTTAAAAATTCCCTGGGTGTGGTGGCCACACCTGTCATCCCAGCTACTCAGGAGGCTGAGGCAGGAGGGTCTCCAGTTCCAGGCCAGCCTGGGCAACCTACCAAAAAGCCTGGGGGTGTGGCAGTGGTAGAGCGTCCTGGGCTCAGTCCCCAGTGTGTGGCGGAGTCTGTTTCCTCAGGAGGCGGCTCCCCACTTGCTGACAGGCACAGTGTGTGGTTTACAGGCCACAGAGCAAGTGCTCAGGTTTGCTACCTCTGGGCTCGCTCTCCAGTTTCACCCACAGGCGCCTTGTGTGTGCGACCCTGTGTCTTGGTCCACTGGACACCTGGGCACTTGAAATGAAAGGAGATCAACACGCACTTCCCTGCAGAAGAAGAGCTGCTTCCGCTTCTGGCTCCCGGGTCCCTGGTGGCGCACAGCCAGACACCCCTTGCAGGTGGACTGGTGCCTCTTTCCTCCGCGTTGATAACCTGTGCATCCCTGCACAGTGGCCCTGGGCACGTTACCAGGTTCCTCTGCCTGAGTCGGCTGCCTAAAAATAGGACCGACCTGCTGTTGTGAGTCCAGAGCACGGGGCTCACCATGCTCCCCGTCCCCAGCGGTGCCTGGTTGGCCTTGGCTGCGTAGCAAGGGCCAGAGACAGCAGGGCTCCGTCAGAACTGAAAACCCCTGTTTATAGGGTCACCAACACAGGTCAGGCCACCTGGTGGCTTCATTTGAACTTGATTACCTCTGTGAGGACCTGGTCTCCAGCACAGTCACATTCTGGGGTCTTGAGGATTAGGACTTCACCCTATGGAGTTTGGGGACACAGCTCAGCCCATAAGGGCACCTGGCAGTTGACCTGTGTGTGCAAGTGGTCTCAGGCACCAGACTCTGGGTGCCGTTCCAGCTCAGAGGAGAACTGGGCCCGGGGCCTGGGCCAGTGCCTTCACTTTGAAGCTGGACCAGGGCTCAAAGCGGAGCAGCAGTCACCCTGACGCAGCCGTAGGGAACCGAGCAGGGGGCCCCCAGCCCAGCGCCCACAGTTCCAGCGAAGCGTCTCCCTACCCTGGAAATCGGTCTGTGTCTCCTGCGCGTGGCTGGCCTGAGCTCCCAGGGCAGAACAGCAGCCCACTGGGTGCTGCTTATCCTGCCACACGTTTGGTGCCCCTAGGTGGCACCCGGGCAGCTGCACAGCAGGCCTGACCCTGCCCTGGCCCTCTTGGCTGGCCGGCTGGTTTTACTGGCACCTGCCCCACAGGAGGCTGGGGCAGCCCTCGCGGGGCTTCCTGCTGGCACTGCCGAGGCCACTGTGGCTGAAGTCTCCAGGTTGGTCCAGGCACCAGGACAGCCCGTCTGTAAGCTGCAGTTCCAGGTGCAGGGCTGGCGTACCCTCTGGGCCCCCTAGAGCTGTGTGGGGAAGGCGAGAGTCCCCATGAGCACTGGGAGCAGAGGCGCCAAGGAGCAAGGCGGTCCTTGGAACCCGGGTGGGGCACGAGTGTCTTAGACAAGAGCCACATTCTGATACTGACGTGTGCAGTCAGTGTGCCCTGGAAGAGGTGGACCAGGCACGGAGATGCTCAGAGCACCGGCTCTGGCCTCCGCTAGGCAGCCCCGCGTCCGCCCTGGGACCAGGTCGTTCTGTGTACAGAGGCAGATCAGTGAATTGGGGTCCCCATCTGTGACCTGCATAATGCTGTGGTCCTGCCTCTATCCCCATGAGATTGAGACTGCCCAGAACACGCGAAGTGGCCCTCACCGTGCAGTGGGCAGGGCCCAGTGAGTCGCGGCAGGTCTGGATGCTTGCAGCAGAGTGTGAGGGGCTGGGGGGAGGTTCCCCGTCCCCACCACTCAGCACACCCTCTCTGCGTGCACCACAGATCCTGAACCTCGGGCGTCTCCCCCTCCCGTCTCAAGATGGATAACAAGAAGCGCCTGGCCTACGCCATCATCCAGTTCCTGCATGACCAGCTCCGGCACGGGGGGCTCTCTTCGGATGCCCAGGAGAGCTTAGAAGGTACGCAGGGCCCCTGTCTACCTCCTGCCCTGGTGGGGGGACCCCGGCCCCCACTGAACTGTGGACAGGTGAGTGTAAGGCGGCCTCCCGCTGCCAGGCCTAGGTACCTGGCCTTTCCTCAACTCTCAGGTAAGTAATCAGCCCAGAGAAGGGCAGGAGCCCATCCAAGGGCCAGTGCCCACCTGCTGGCCCAGCTCTATTTTTTGGCTGTGGGCCAAGCCCCCTTCAGGAGCATTTCATCACCCCGTCATCATCCATTGAGCTGTGGTTCCAGAATGTTCCCAGCCCTTCTGTGCACGTTTGTGGGAGAAGGATTCTCCTTGGGTCCCTGCCCCAGGTTCCCAGCCCACTGGTCCCCAGCGAGAGCTGAGCGTGCTCCCCTTGCATGGTGCCAGGTGTGGGAGGGAGAGGACGCCTCTGGGAGGCAGCCTTGGTGGCCTGTGTTCTGCCAGGCCTCCTCTGCCTGTGTCTGCTTCCTGTGGAAGTTCTGTTGAAACTCTCAGGGCAGAAGGAGGCTCTGGTGGGCAGCTGTGGGCATCTGCACACACCCTCCAGGTGAGGGGCAGTGGGGCTTAGTGGGGCCTAGGAGGAAAGAGCCCAGGGGCGCTGTGGGACCTGCCCGGGGTGGGTGGCGCCACAGCATGGATGCCACCTGGGGAGGAGAAGGCGCCCTCCTCCTTCCCTCCACTCCAGCTGGGTCAGCCCCTGGGTCCAGGCGGCAGGCGGCACTGGGCTCCCTGCTGCGGAGGCAGAGAACTTGAGCTGCTGACCCTTGCCAGGTTCCCCTGGAGTCCCGCAGTGCCCCTGGGCACTTCCCCCCATATGGCCCTCCAGGCCAGACCAGGCCCACCACCCCTCCACCAGGTGGCCTCAGCATTGTGACTCCACAGAGAGCCCTGAGGTCAGCCACCTGAGCCCACGTTGCTTCTCCTGCTGGCAGGTGTGGGCACATTGTCCACCCCAAGCGTCCAGGCTTTGAGGTGGATCAGAACAAAAGGAAGCCCAGTCAGGAGCCTGCGGGCCCGGGCGGTGGGCGAGGGGGCCTTTGTGAGTAGAACGGCCGGAGAGGACGTGTGAGCCCCTAGGCCTGAGAACCCCCCGGCGTTGCCCTCCCAGGGCTGGGTGGCCTCCCAGGAACACCCCGTCCTCCCCCGCAGTTGCCATCCAGTGCCTGGAGACCGCCTTCGGGGTGTCGGTGGAGGACAGTGGCCTGGCGCTTCCCCAGACTCTGCCAGAAATATTTGAAGCAGCCGCCGCAGGCAAGGTGAGCCCCGGGCTTCCCCCACCTCACCCCAAAATGAGGACAGCAGCAGCAGGAACGTCTCGGGGTGCTGACTGCTCCCCCACCAGCTCAGAGTCGGAACCCAGGCCCAGGGGCGCTGGCCATCCTCATCCTGTGAACAGGGGCTACTGGCCCCAGTCACTCCCCAGGGCCCTGCAGAGGGCCAGGAGCCTCTGAGCGGGTTGTCCAGAGCCGTCCCACGGGGACTGCCAGGCTGAGGCTGCAGGGCTGCCTGAGCACACTGGGGCACCTTCCTCGGGCAGGAGATGCCACAGGACCTGAGGAGCCCTGAGCGGACCCCGCCCTCCGAGGAGGACTCGGCAGAGGCAGAGCGCCTCAAAACCGAAGGTGAGGGCCAGTGGCCAGTCAGGAGGTGACGCTGGAGGGCAGTGGTCAGCGAGCTGGCCCGAGGGGAATGCATGGGGGTAGTAACAGAGTGCAGCCTCTCGAGCACAGCCAGCACGAGTGTCGCATGGCACAGCCATCGTGGAAGGCAGGCGCCTGCTCTCCTCGGGGCCTGGGGTAGTTTCTCTGACCAGCCATTTACTTTGGGTGGATTCCAGGGAAGCGAAGCAGCACGTCTGGCAGACACTGCAGTCACATGCACAGCAGCCAGGCAGCCAGGGGAGCCACAGGTGTCCCGCGGGATGAAGGGACACACAGCACAGTCCATCCACCATGGGGTGTCCTCGGCCAGGGCAGGAGCGAGGTGACATGGCTGCGGCTCATGCTCAGGGAAAGCCAGACAGTCCACAGTGTGTGACCCAGTGACGGGAGATGTCAGAGGCAGGCAGGGGCTTCGTGGATGTGGGGACTGGGAGGGGACAGGGGACTATTTGTGGAGACAGTCTTTCTTTTGTGTGTGATGGAATGTTCTGGACTGGATAGAGGTGATGGTCATGCAATGCACTGAATATAGGGAAAACCACTGAGCTCCATCACCCAGGACGACAGGCACAGCCACAGGTGGTTGCTGCCCCTCCTCCCTGTTGGAACAGGGACCAGGCCTCAGAGGACAGCCACGGTGCTGTGAGGTTAGCAGAGAGTCCAAGAAGTGGCTGTCCCTCTGTGCCACCAGGCTCCCCATCTGCAGAGTCAGCCAACCCCAGATCGTAACACTCAGAAAACAGGCATCACACTGGTCACCACAAGTGTCCCCTTACTGTCCGTCCTGAACGACATGGCTTAGCCGCTCTTACCAGAGTGCTCATAGGGCCACCTGGGGATGCTGTGGCGTCTACCAGAGGAGGTGCCATCTCATGCCAGGAGCTTGAGCACCTGTGATTTTGGTGTCCGTGGGGGTTCTAGATCCAGTCTCCCGAGGACACCAGGGGATGGCTCTGCTCGCTGGCCTGGGCCTCCTGCCGCTCACGTGCAGAGCTGGAAGCTTGTGCCTGGAGGACCCCATGTAACTCCAGCAGTTCCTGAGCGGGACCTGAATGTTGCACCCTGCCCTGTGATCGGAGCTCGGGCGAGCCAGGGTCACACCCGTGTCCCCAGGTCTGCTGTGACACGCTGGGCACACACCTTTCTTTCCTTTTAGGGAATGAGCAGATGAAGGTGGAGAACTTCGAGGCCGCCGTGCGTCTCTATGGGAAGGCCATTGAGCTCAACCCTGCCAACGCCGTCTACTTCTGCAACAGGTGCCACGGGCCGGGGCGCCAGGAGGCTCAGTGCGCGGGGCCAGGGAGCGCAGGCACAGCAGATGGGCTTGTCCACCTGCGCCTCAGGAGGAGGGAGGTCAGGAGGTGGCCTCCTAACCTGTGGTTGGGGGTACGACTGCCCACACCATGCCGGGAGCGGAGGCTGGCCTTTGGAGAACGTGTCACGCGTCTGCCGTGGGCTTTCTGATGGTGGTGAGCAGCAGCGTTTGGCCTCCACTTCTGTCTCATGTGGTGCTGGGGACAGACCCTGGGTCCTGTACGTGCCACCGCCTGCTCTGCCATGGCTACATCCTGACCCTGGCCTGTTTGGGGAGGCAAAGCCAGCTGCCCTGGCAGAGCCTCGCAGCGTAAGGCGCAGTCTCGCAGAGCCCGTCCTGGCTGGGGAAGGAGCGGAACTGGACGCAGAGTCCGGTGCCAGGCCGTGGAGCGGCCGCGCCCGAGTGTGTCCGTCACTCGCGAGTCCCCTGCGCGGGCCTGGCTGCTTTCCTGGGATTTGTTCTTTTACCGTTTTATTTTGGACTAGTTCTGGGTTGTCAGGAAAGTGGCAGAGATAGGACAAGTAGAGCACGCAGAAGTTCTGAGGCCCCACAGCCTGGACCCCGGCCCCAGGACACCTCAGGTGGGGATTCCAGACACAGAATACAGGCACGACAGCGATTGGCAGGGAGTTCAGTGCGCGTCACCCTTGGCCTTGGGTCCCCTCCTCAGGATGCCTCGTGGCGTCGGAGCTGTTCCAGGATCTGAGGGAACTGTCCCCAGCCTCTCAGGTGGGGTTCTGGCTCTGTACTGAGGCCCCGCCGCCCCTCAGCCGCCACACCCCTGCTCCCCAGCACCTCCCCTAGCGCTTCCCTCTGTCGGAAATGAGCCCCGAAGAGGCTGCGCCAGGAGCCTGGCAAGTTCGAGAGCGGCCTATGCCGCTCAGCAAGGCGCTGTCGCCAAGTGAAGTCCCGGGTTCACTGAGAGCGTGTGGGGAGCCAGGGAGGGAGTGGCGCAGGACTGGGGCGTGAGGGTGGCCAGGTGGCTGCAGGCCCTCCCCTCCCCCTGCACAGGTTAGGCTCTGAAAGCCAAGGTGACAGGATTCTGCTGCCCGCTGGCCTTTTCCAGAGCGGACAGCGCACAGCCCTCGCTCAGTGCCGCGCGGGGAGCTCTGGCTCTGTGCCCTGCGCCTCAGGTGCGCTCCTCGGAGGCCCAGCACGCAGCCTCGGCCCCGGGCCTGCACTCGGGGTTGCAGTGCACCCCCCGGATGTGGGGGGCGAAATAGAAGGCTGGCTGCCAGAGGGCGGGCAGGAGCTGTCTCTGGCCAGGTCCTGGGTGGCCTCCCACCTGGTGAGGAACGGGTTCTTTTTCCCCCCGGGACAGACGAGGAAGTGAAGGCAGAGCTGGGACAAGGCCAGGCAGGGTGGCGTCGGTGCCTTGCTCTCTCCTCCCTCAGCACGCCTGTGGGCACACTGGCCTCTGGTGTCCCCATGAGTGGGTAGAACCTGGGTGGCAGAATCTGGTGGTGTTGGGTGCAGATCTGGTGCTGAGGCCCCATGTGCCAGGGCCAGCTCCAGGCCGCGCCCCTCCCTGCCCACAGGCCGGTGCCCAGGTGTCCTGGCCCTCTGCGTCCTGGCTGGCCTGTCGCCACCCGCTAGCCCCGGGGCTGCCTGCAGGAGCCGCCTGCCTTTGTCCCCGCAGAGCCGCAGCCTACAGCAAGCTGGGGAACTACGCAGGAGCCGTGCAGGACTGCGAGAGGGCCATCTGCATAGACCCGGCCTACAGCAAAGCCTATGGCCGCATGGGGTGAGTGGCTGCGGGGTCCTGGTCCCTGCTGTGGCAAGCCGCCTAGCAGCTCAGCTCCACACGTCGGTCTGGGGTGGTCCGACCCCGTCTTGAGGCACCAGCCGTGCATCCCACGTCTGAAGGCGGCTGGGGGTCCAGGCTCCCGGGGCCCTGCCCTGGGCCTGGGCCGGGCGTGGTGGCAGCCAGGTAGCCTGCAGAGAGGAGTAGCCAGACTTCAGGGGCCAAGCACAGGAGCCCCTCCACACAGTGTGGGGCACAGAGTTCCTGTCCTCTTTTTGGACTGTTGTGGTCAACTGCCCCCTGCCAAGCTGCCTGGGGGCTCACCAGACTCCACTGTGTCCCGGGGCACTGACACTCAGGGTGTCCCAGCGTTTCAGCAGCTGTGTGCCAGCAGCGTGCACGAAGGCCAAGCCCAGGTCTTTGGGACCATGACATTTAGAGTGACGTCCTCCCGTCCCCGCACCTCAGGAGGAAGCACTGTGTGTGGCCATAGGGGCCCTTCTGGTGGGCCTGGGCTCAGACACCCCCGGAGTCCCTGCAGGCGGTGTGCCCCACCAAGCCCAGGCAGGCAGCACCTCGGGACCCTGGCGGCTGCCCGGCCCTTCAGCAGCACCCTTCCCCCGCAGCCTGGCGCTCTCCAGCTTGAACAAGCACACCGAGGCCGTGGCCTACTACAGGAAGGCCCTGGAGCTGGACCCCGACAACGAGACCTACAAGTCCAACCTCAAGATAGCGGAGCTGAAGCTGCAGGAGGCCCCGAGTCCTGTGAGCCGGGCGGCTGCGGGGTGTGGGCCGGGGCCTCGCCGACCCGGGGTTTGTGGTGTTCACGTGTGAGACTCGGGCACGGGAAAGACTGTCACAAGGAAAGAAGTTTACACCCCCCAACCCGGGAAACAGAGTGCCGGTCAGGGCTGCCTGGGGCAGCACTGCCTGGGTCAGGTGGCAAGGGCCCTGCTGTGACCCAGCTGGGTGGCAGGCTCGGGCTGGCTGCTTTGGCTCATTCAGCCACCCGTGCACCCGTGGCCTGGGTGGTGAGGCTGGGAGCCCACGAGGGGGGTGCCCCTGAAAGGCCCTCTCTGGGCAGGGTGGGCCCTGCAGGTGGTCAGCCCAGAGAGCTGCCCCTGCAGGCTCGCCAGCCCAGGGTGCCACAGCGCAGGAAGTCAAAGGCCTGGCCCCTAGCAGGCTTTCCCCAGAGTGCTGGTCACGGTCTGTGCCAGGAGGCGGCCCTCCTTGGTACTCAGGCTAAGGGGCCGCTGAGCCCCGCAGGGCTCTCACCCCTCAGGCCCTAGGGTTGCTGGCCATGGTCCTGTGTCCGGCCACCACTAACCAGTGCTTTCTTGTCTCCAGACAGGAAGTGTGGGCAGCTTCGACATCACTAGCATGCTGACCAACCCAAGCTTCGTGAGCATGGTAACAGCCCCGGCTCCCCGCCCACAGCCCCTACCCAGGGCCAGGCTCACAGAGTCCAGGAGGTGACCCCCAGCTCCCCCGTGTGGTAGAGAGTGCAATAGAAATGTCTGGCCGTGTCCATCTCCTGGGGTCCAGAGAAGATAATGCAGGGTTCCAGGTGCCACTTTCCAATGCCAGTGCTTCTACTGTGAAAGGGACATTAGCCTGTGGTAGTGGACCTAGTAGCCTGTGGTAGCCAGGACCCTACACAGCCATCCACACTGCACCACGTTCCCTGAGTGCCCACCCCTCTGCCACGCACAGGGCCTGCAGCCTTGGGCTGCGGTGACTGGCGCACTGCTAGGGAGGACACTGGGCACCACGGTGCACGCGGCATCTCGGGTGGAAGCTGTGGAGGAGGATGGGGATGTGGCTCAGGCGTCAAGCCCCCCTGGGTCCAAGGCCCAGCACCAAAAAAATGAAAAGAGGGGCCATCAATGTCCTGGCAGCCAGAGGATGCCCTCCCCAGAGCAGGCAGCGGCTGGAGCAGCACCACCGGGTGCCTCCCCTGCAGCAGAGGGCAGGGCAGCTGTGCTTGCCCTTGCAAGGCTCAGGCAGCAGTGGACAGTGGTCAGAGTCCTGGCCTCGTGGGTGTGGCAGGTCATGGCCTGCCAGCGGTTCTGTGAGGCAGGCCTTGTGGGCATGCAGCCACCCCACCCACACTGGCAGAGCTGCGTGCACCTGGGAAGGCGGAGGGCACCTGCCTCCTGCCCGTTAGAAGGAGGCGCCGGCCTGGGAGCCGCCACCCTGGAGGCGCCGTGAAGTCTGCTCGGGCACGCTGAGTGGGTCCCAGAGACCGTCCCGTGCCCGGGCACACCCAGACACGCCCTGGGGCAGACGCGGGGGCTTGGCCGGGTGACAGCAGGAGGCCGTGTGGCGAGGCCCTGTCGCCCGCGAGGAAGCAGCAGGGCTCCAGGTCTCAAGGCCCCCGGGGTGCAAGTGGGAAGAGCTGGCACTGCCACGCAAGCAAGGGGACAAGCAGACGTAGGGGGAGGGCCAGGTTGGTGGAATGTGGGGCTGGCAGCGAGGGTCAGTGGCTAGCGCTTCCCTCGCTGGTGGGGGGACGGTGAGAACTCGGGGTGGAGAGTGGCTTCCCGACCTGTGTGTTTCCCCTCAGGCGTCAAACCTCATGAACAACCCGCAAGTTCAGCAGCTGTAAGTGACAATCCTTGTGTCATTGTGTGGTGGGTTTCTTTTGTTGTGGCACAGTGTACATGACATAAACTTTAATTATTTTGAAAAACGAAGTACAGTGGCACACGCCTGTAATCCCAGTGATTAGGGAGGCTGAGGCAGGAGGACCACAAGTTCAAGGCCAGTCTCAGCAACTTAGCAAGGCCTGTATCAAAATTCACAGTATTTTCTTTCTTAGTTGAAGTTTAACAGTTCCTTGGTGTTAAGTATTCAGAGTGTCGGGGGCCAGCTTCCACAGTGTAACTCCTGGACACTCTGTGACCCCAGAGGAAGTCCCTTCCCCACAAGCTGTCCCCCATCCCTTCCAGTCTTGCAAGTCCACATCCCATCTCTGGACTCCCCTGTCACTGGGTCACACGCTGTGGCCTGTGTGTCTGGCTCTCACTGAGCACCAGGTCCTTGGGACCATCCATGCTGCAGCTGTCACTGTGCTCTTGCTGGCCGAGGACGCTCTGGGTATACGGGGTCAGGCTGTGCTGCCCATCTGCCAGCAGACCCCTGGCTTCTGCTCTGCGTCTCCTGAGGGGGTGGTGCTGCTGTGAACCGGGGGTGAGGGTCGGGGTCCCTGGTACGCGCCAGAGTGGCTGGCCGAGCACATACTGCCAGGCCACTTTCTTCCCTCACCAAAGCTTGCTCTCAGCCACAGCAGGGTCCTCGGCAGGGCCAGGTGGCTCGCCGGGTGGCTCGCCGGGTGGCTCTCCGGTGGCTCTCTGGCACTGCAGCTTGCTGAGCAGCATCCCTGCCTCCACCTCTCCCTGCCAGGACACCCCAGTGCTGGTCACGGTCACCCCAAATGTCATGCAGTGTCCCTGGGGGCAGCCACTTGGCTAAGACCACTACTGTGTTTAGGCCAGAACGGGGCAGTCCTGGGAGGCTGGGCTGGGGACCTGGGGGTCTGCCAGGTGCAGAGAATCGGCCTGAGAAGGATGGACCTCCCAGGCCACACACCAGGGCCCCATGGGGAGAGCCGTCTGGCCGTTGGCTGAGTCCTGCTGCTCCCCACAGTGTGTCCGGGATGATCTCCAGCAGCCACAACCCCCTGGGAACTCCCGGCACCAGCCCCTTGCAGAACGACCTGGCCACCCTCATCCAGGCGTGAGTAGAGCTGCTCCACGGGGCACGGGTGGGCACATAGCACGTCCCTGGGTGCCCAGGGACCTGGTGTCCTCCGGCACGGAAGGCAGAGGCCCCAGGTCCAGTCTGGGCGGAAGGAGGAGCTGAAAGCAGCGGCCGGCCCCCGCCAAGCTGCACCGTCCCCACAGGGGCCAGCAGTTCGCACAGCAGATGCAGCAGCAGAACCCGGAGCTGATCGAGCAGCTCAGGAGTCAGATGCGCAGCCGGACCCCCAGTGCCAGCAACGACGACCAGCAGGAGTGACCGGCCAGGTGAGGCCCCGCAGGCAGGTCCTCCTGCCAAAGCCGGGTTTGCCCTGAGCTCCGAGGCCAGACAAGGCTTCCCTGGTCATCGGGACCCTGTCCAGCGTTGGCCCTACCCCAGCATGGGATCAGTAGACGCCCGGCGGCCACCGGGATGGCCCATGTCTATGTCAGGGCTTGTTGTCACTCCTGAGAGCAGGTGTGGTGCTGGTGGCTGTTACAGTGGGCTCACTGTCCCAGGTGGGCCCCAGCGGCCCTGGCTGGCTTAGTTAGCGTCCCAAGGTCCCTCACTCAACCTGCCTGTCCGCAGTGGACATGGCTCCCGGGCCTCTGCCCTGACGCCACCTTGCACAATGTCATTGACACACACACACACGTTGATTTCTTAACCAGATGACCTTAGGGACACCTGAGCGGAGCCGTTTAGGGCCTGGCCACTTCCCCCAGGTGCTTCCTGTCCCCCCTCCTCCTCTGGGGCCAGGGATGGCGCCAGGCCCTTGCTCAGGCTGACCTCTTGCTCCCCATTGGAGTGAGCTTTTCCTCCAGCTTCCTGAGCCCCTCTGTCTGCGCTGGCCCAGCGCCATGGCCCCAGAGCCCTGGCCCACGCACACGGGCCTGGCCTCCTGCTGCGGCCTGACTGCCGGGCCTGGTCTGCCTTCCCGCAGCCGTCCCGGCGCCGTCCTGCTCTGCCCGCCAGCTGCGGCCCCCGTGTGGTTGGCCACTAAGGAAACTGAAGTTGGACCTGCACGTTGAGAGACTTTGTTCCGCCCGCCCCGTCTGTCCGTCCCGTCCGTCCCGTCCCGAGCCTCCCCGGCCCCCGCCCCCCCAGCCCCAGCCCCGCAGAGCCCAGTCAGGCACTGCAGAGTTCTCTAGAACTCCTGGGCCGCTCTGGAGACGCGACAGTGTGCTGTTGGGCCTCGTGGTGACCCTGTGGCCTTGGGAGCCCTCTGCAGCCCTGCCCCGTCCTCCGTCTCCAAGGACCCGCAGAGTTGCCTCTGGCTGTCCTGCTGGCACTGTGCCAGGAAGAACTCACTGCCAGCCCGGCCCGTGCTGCGTCCTGGTGCCGCGTCCCAGCAGCCCAGAAGGCGTGCTCCAGGGAGGGACTCCAGCCCCGCGCCCGGCGGGCAGCTCCTACGTCCCGCACCCCTTGGCCAGTGTGTCCTGTGCACAGAACCCAGCTCTGTGACTCTTGTGCTGGGTGCGTGGATGGACGTCTGTCTGCCTCCCACCTGCCCTCTTCCACGCCCCGGGACAGATGGTCATGACCTCCTGTCCAGCTGGGCTCCGTGGTTAGCCCTGCACAGAGGTTGACTAGGACATCCTGGCCCGTCTGTGTCCCCTCCCACACTCCTCGTGCCCTCTGGGGTCCCCAACACCCCCACCTTGGCCCTGAAGCAGCTGCAGGAGCGACACCCAGGAGGGGGGGTCAGGAGCAGGGCCCCTTGGACACCCTGCGCCCTGCCCAGCTGCAGGGCAGGCTCGGCTCCACAGAGGGTCGCGTCTCGCAGTTGGAGCCCGGGCGCCCTGGGTGTGGGCTGCGTGCCAGGTGGGGCAGCGCGTGTGTGTGTGTGTAGGTAGCCAGTAGGAAGAAGGGCGGCGGCCGGCCCCCGGCGCCCCTCAGGCGGCCGAGCTGACAGCCAGCCGTGTGGAGAATAAACAGACCTTGTGGCTTTGTCTTGTCGTCTCTGACGCCCGGCCCTCCCTCCCCAGCCTCACCTCCAGGAGCCCGCCCGCCTGGCGCCCCCAATCCCATGGAGCCCACAGGTGTTCCTCCTGGGTCGGGGTCACGGGCACCTGGTACCTTCCCGTGATGTGGTCCCCTCTCCTCCCTGGTGCAGAGCATGGCCACCTGGCCCAGCTGGGGGCAGAGCAGGATCCCAATCATACGTGGGCTCTATCATAGCCTCCCTGAGTGACAGACATGGCCCATGAAGCGCTTCTGCATGGGTAGCCGCTCAGGAACCTTCCGGCTCCCTGTACCCCCCGCCAGGAGCCGAGTGGGGTTTTCTGTGGGTGCTGTGGCACCTCAGCTCCGGGCTCTCAGTTCCCACCTACAGCCACCTGACAAGGACAGAAACCAAGGCTCTCACTGGCCCAAGGTCCCCCCGCCAGGGAACCACAGAGCCAGGTGGAGCCCTGCTCTGTGGGAGAGTGGCCGTCTCCCCCACGGGCCCCCTCCCTGTTCCCGTCACAGAGAACCGGCACATGCAGGGGTGGGACTCGGGGCCCAGCTCTCACTCCCTTCAGTCACTGTGGAGACTGGAAAAAATCACAAACTGTCTGCAGGCCTGCAATCCCAGCACCTCAGGAGGCTGAGGCAGGAGGATTGCAAGTTCAAGGCCAGCCTCAGCAACTTAGCACGACCCTGTCTCAAAAAATAAAAAGGCTAAGTGCTCTGGTCCAATCCCCAGATCCCTTAAAAAAAAAAAAAATGGTGATGTGCAGGAGAGGACGCCCTGGGAAGGAGCTGTCTCTGGCCCCCCTGAGGAGCCCTGGGTAGAGCTCACGTTCTGGGGTCCCCAGGCCAGCAGTAGCAGTACTGCCTGGGACCTGAGTGGCCAGACAGGTGCCTAGCTACCGAATCATCCTGATGGTGGTGGGGCCCGTGGTGTTCCAGGTGATCTTGGCACACACCAAAGCTAGAAGACCACCTGTCACCTCGGAAGTGCGCGTAACCCATCGGCCCCACGGGCAGAAACCCCGGTGCACACAGATGTGAGCTGCGTCCCTGAAGCCACCTGTGGAGCCGCACAGGTCCCAACCATCTGGTCTCACCAGGATGGCCTGCAGGCCACCCCTGGGCAGGCAGTGGGGCTGTGGGCAGCTTGCAGGGCCAGGACTTTGCTGGGTGACTTGATGAGAAGCACATCGCGGTGATGCCGTCAGCCCCACACAAGTCAGAAACAGCACATCTGAGTGCTCCTGTCACTAGCCACGGCTCCCGGGGAGCAGCTGCCGCCACCTTAGGGCCCAGAGTCAGAGCCACGCTGCTGCTCCACAGCCCTGAGGTGACATTCCCTGGACCACGGACCCCGCCTTGCTGCCCTCCAGGGAAGCAGGAGGGGAAACCAGCTGTGTGTCACAGAAGCAGCGGTTTGCAGCCTGGGGTGGCTTTCCCCCGGGGCTCTGCGGTACCTCAGCTGGAGGTGCGCCTGCCCTGGGACTGCTCTGCACCCTAGTGCCCAGGACGCCCCCAGAGCAGCGCCCCCAGCGCTGGGGCTCGGGATGCCCGTGGCCGCAGGCCCTGGGCCGACTCATCAAGCAGTTGTGCCGAATCACTTGCCCCCAGGAGGGGGATCTGCCTGCTGGCTTTAGAATCTCTCTACACAGAAAAGCATCTCAGCCCAGAGGGGTGACTTGGGAACAAAACGCAGCGCCCCGCATCCCCGGCCTCAGCGACTTCCCTTGCTGAGCATGAGCCTGCCGCAGGCGCTTGGCCGGCAGGGGGCCCACGGGGCTGGCGCAGCATCAGGACCCGCCGGAAGGATGCGGCCCGTGAGCTCCCCGGCCGCGCCCTGAGCCCGCTGCGCCTGCAGCCCCGGCGGACCTTGCAGAGCCAGGAGGGGGTGCCCGCCGGTACGTGCGCTCTGGAGCAGCACCCGAATGGCAGAGCCGACGGGAGGGTCAAAGAAAGTGCCCCCAGAAACCACAGGCTGTGTTGGGCCGCGGCGGTCCGGTCCTCCTGTTTCCACTGTACCAGGCGCAGGTGTCAGGGCGCAGACAGAACCACCTCCACCGGCCCCGCTGGCCCTGTCACCCCAACCAACGTGGCCATCTGGCCTGGAGGGGTCCACCGCGGCCCCACAGCCCCCTCCCTCCAGCCGCCCCTCCGCCCGGGAGCCGCCTTGGGCCAGGCCTGCGGGGCATGGGCTTCTGCGGTGCAGGACCTCGGGGCCCAACCGATGGCACCCAAAAGGTGACGCAGCCTACCTTGGTGGCCGAGGGTAGCGCCGCCCAACTCTAAGGTTCTACTCATGGCATCTGCAGAAGGAAACAGCATAAGGATTTTAAAAGGAAATACAGACTATATTCTGGGTTGGGCAAGATTTTCTTAAAGAGAACATGGAAGCATTAGCTGTGATTTTTTTTTTAAATCAACCGGCTGGATCACATTGATTAAAATAAGGAGTCCACTAAAACAGAGAAATCAGTGGATCATCAAGTACATTAAGGTAGCCGCGTGTTGGTGCCCGCCTGACAGTTTAGCAAGGCCCTAAGCAACTTGGCAAGGTCTTGTCTCTCTTTATTTAAATTTGTAAAAAGCGCGGCTGGGGTTGTGGCTGTGGGTCAGTGGTAAAGTGTCTTCTCACATGTGTGAGGCCCTGGGTTCCATCCTCAGCACCACATAAATAAAAGGATTGTATCCACCTACAACTAAAAAAATTTTTTTAAATAGATATTTTAAAAGGGCTGGGAATGGGCTGGGATTGTGGCTCAGTGGTAGAACATTCCCCTAGCACGGGCGGGACCCAGGTTTGATCCTCAGCACCACATGAAAATAAAGGCATCGTGTTGTGTCCATCTACAACCTAAAAATAAATAAAATTTTTTTAAAAAGGGGGGGGGCTGGGGATGTGGCTAAATGGTCAAGGCCCCTGGGTTCAATCTATCACCCAATACAAAAAACAAAAAAGGTGTTTATTTGCAATTCATACTTTTCAAAAGTATTAATCAGGCATGGAGGGCATGCCTGTCATCCGGCTAAGGAGGCGGGGGCAGCCTGGGCCACCGAGGGAACTGTGCCTCAAAATAAAATAAAGGACTGGGCGGCTCAGTAGTCGATGCTTGCCTAGCATGTGCAGGGGCCTGGGCTCCATCCCCAGTTCTGAAAAAAAAAAAAAAAAGCAAATATAAATAAGATCATCCTCATTAGAAAAAGTTCAGACAATGGCAAAATATTTAAAATACAGTAGAAAAATCACACCGCATCCTGCCTCCAATCCCACATAGCCACAGTTTGTCTTATGTCCTTCCGATTGTAGCTGATAACTCTGATAGATTCTAAGTGTTTCTGTTCCTTTTTCACATGCTGAAATGGAACCCAGGGCTCACACATGCTCTACCACTGGCTGTACCCACAGCCCAGATGTCTGCTGTCATACTTTACAAACTGGCATAATGTCGTCTATAATTCCTCCAAATTTCCTCTCCATTTAATACGTATCATGGTAATTATGTTAATGAGCTTTCCCGTCACTAGAACAAAGTACCTGAGATAATCAATTTATAAAGAGGAAAGGTTGGTTTGGGATCGTGGGTTTTAGGGTCATAGCCTAGGATCGTTGACTTGTTGCTGTGGCCCTGTGGCAGGGCAGCATGTGGAGGAGTGATCAGCCCACCTCATGGCCAGAAAGCAAAGAGGAGGCCCAGGGCCCACAGTCCCCTGTGAGGCCTCACTCGCGACCCGTGCCCTTCCAGGCCCCCTCCTGAAGGGCCTTGGGAGAACACTCACGGTCCAGATCATGGTCATTTCCTCTCAGGATCCACCTCGTTTTCTTACACAATAAGCCATAGGAGGGGTGGACAGGCTCCTGGACTCTGTTTCTCTACGACGTCCTGCACGTCATCCTCACTCGGGGGCTAGGTCAGCCCACAGGAGTGAGCATCACGCGTGGGGGTCAGCGTCAAGAGACCCTTTGGCCCAGAATGCAGCCCCTGACGCCCGCAGCCGCCGTCCAAGACAAGGCGGAATGGAAACAGGGAAAGGAGAGACTTCGCAAGGCACCCTGAGAAGCAGCACCTCAGCAGGTGCTCGAGTCACCGTGAACACGGCCAGTCACGTTGGTGGCATGGACCCTGGACATGAGGTCAGGAGAATGGCCCCTCGACTCCCTGGTCCTGGAACTACAGCATCCGTCCAGTCAGGAGGAAAGTGTCAGAAGGGTTCCAGGTCATGAAATCCAGGCATGTGGCGAGACGGTCACAGCCAGAGGAGCCCAGGGGACGTGGTATCTGGGTCACCACTGGGTCCTGGGCAGAAGAGGACATTGGGAGAATGAGCGAAGCTTGGACTCCAGTTAATGACAGATGAGCGCCTGTCCCGTGTGAGGGGCGGCACCCAGGGAGGCCCTGAATGTGGCCAGGCTCTTAGCCAACGCCCGGTCACTGTGAAACAGCCAGGGTTTAAACTGCCTTTCTTCTTCGTCTCCCTAGCGCCGGGGACTGGACCCAGGGGGCTGACCTGCTGAGCGACTCGCCCACAACTGTGATGCCCGCGCTCACAGCTGACATGGGGTCGCAGGCGTCTCGCAGTGTGTCTCTCCCGAAGACCAGGCATTCGTGACATGAACCCAGCGCGGTCATTAAATTCAGGAAATTGAACCAATTCCGATACGACCCTATTATGTGATACACAGTCCACATTTAAATTGTGTTGTTCATTCCATCACATTTCTGGAGACCTCTTTCCGAACCAGGATTGAATCCAGGACCTCCCGCTGTGCTCCACCATCACATCTGCTGTGGATCTGACCGGTTTTTCAGGTTTTCACGGCCTCTCGTGACGTTGACATTCGGGGGACACAAACCAGCTGTTCAGTCTGCACCTGGATGGTCGGAGCATTTCCTTATGAACAGACTTAGCCGCTGGTGCCCACCCAGCTCACGGCAGGCCCTGAGTTCCGTCCCCAGCGCCAAAACACGACAATGAGACGACATGGGGCGGGGGATC